GCCTACAGTCTGGTGGCCACTGACATCATGACTGAATATTCCACAGCTCTGAGGTGCTACCTAGATAACCATAGAAGTAGCTGCCTGGACCTCCTGAGTTGGAGGCCCTTGCCCTCTCCAATGTTTCTCTTTCCCAATACATATTTTCTTTTCAAAAAAAGAACTGCATCTGAGAATACATGTGTGCAGGAAGCTAGAATCCTTGTCCTCTGGAAAGACCACAGCCCCTACCCTCTCCTCTCTCTGTTTCCTTTACCAGTGAGAAGTTTCCTTCCTCTGACTTGTTTACCTGTTCTCCTGGTCTGGGGTCAGTTTCCTGCCCCTCGGCACCTCATTTTCTCTAGCATGCCCTCCCAAGTGTGTGCTCCAAGAGCACCAAGACCAGAAGGGTCCAGTCTAGGGCCAGATGCTGGTGCCCTGTGCTGAGAAGTGCCCACGACCCCAGGGCCTCATGCTAAGAAGGCCTCCCTACTGGGTGCTGAGATGGGGCTTCCCTCTCCTCCCTTGAGAGGAGCCCTGTTTCCCGTACACAAAAAGGGTGTCTGCCATCATGACATTCATTCCTGAGGCCCAATGCCACGAGCTGAGCCATCTTTGGGAAAAAACAGGTTTCTTTGAGTCGAGAGGCCAGAAGTGAACCACTGCCACTGAGCAGAGAGCCTCTTGAGGCAGCAGTGGAAGGCAGAGGGAAGAGGGGTTTGAGGAGACAGAAGGACAGTCCTCTCAGGGGCACTGCCCCTTCCTCCACACATCACATCACCTGCCTGGTCCTTCAGAGGAGCCCTGGGTGGCCTGAAACGGATAGGATTCTTCATGCAAGGAACCAACTAAGACAGGCACAGATGCACAGGGGCCATGAGGAGAGAAGGTGGTGATCATAAGAGTGGGCCACAGACCCCCAATGTCAAGCTGAGCTTGAGCCTGACCCCTTACTCCTTCTGGGGAAGGTCTCCTGATCCTGTGGCTGCTACGTTTCCCATGCTCAGTTCAGACTGAGCTCCCAAATGTGACAAAGGCTCATCCAGCCTCCTATGGTCCTCAGGCAAAAGGTGTATGTTTTCTATTCATACCTGGGGTCCCAGGGCCAGCCAGGGGCAGATGAAGGAAAGGGCTGCTGCAGGGGAGCCATGTTCCCTTTCTTCTCTCTTCTTCCCTGACCCTCATCCCCACGGCAAAGCTTCTTTCCCTTCCCTTTGCTTTGCTTTCTTTCTCCCTTGTCTTTAAACCCCTAGGTCTCCACAATCTGCACTCCCATCTTTACTTCCTTTCTCTCTGCCTCCCTCTCCCTTCCCCACTCTGCCTTCTTAGTCTTCCATCTCTCACCTCCCTGCCCTAGCATTCTGGGGGGTGTTCTGTTTCTGGCAGAATGCTGGACCCCAGTGAGATAGCAGAATCCTAAACTCCCATCCCACTCCTTATCTTCTGAGTGTTCACTGGAGACTTGGAGAAAGGAAGGGAGGCAGGGAGGAGCAAGAACCTTGGGGCCTGGGCTGCAGATGCTGCTAGTTGTGGCACTAGAGAAGGGAGTCAGAGCTGTTTAGAAGGGAGCCACCCAGGAGGATAAAGAACGAAGAAGGAGAGCTAGAGAGAGGCTTCACAACCCTCAACCGTCAATCATTTCTACTTTGGGATTTGGACAGTGCCATCAGGGTTTGTTTTCCAGAGTTGTTATGCCCGGTAAGTGCTTTCGTTCATCATTCTCTCTTACTAACATTGACGACTTCCACACCTGTCCTCAAGCCCTTTGAGTCTTGCCTAGATTACACGTTTGCATCAGAGCCTTATCCATTTTGGGGGACATGAACATCTGAAAAAGACATGAATATGATCTCTGGAAAAATGTTCTACACACACACACACACACACACACACACACACACACACGCATGCATGCATGTGCACATGCACATGCATGCAAAAGCTGGGTATAACTTTAGAGATTTCCAATACCTCAAGATGCAGACACCCACCATAATCTCACCCATGGAATTTCCAGGAACTTTTCATCCCTGACCTCTGACCTTCACCATTTCCTGGGCCCATCCGTTTCCCTAATCACTCAGGACCACCTCCATGGTCTGCACTGCAAACTTCCCTTCCCTTCTCTAGGATGGCCAGGATTTAGTTCCACTAACTACCAGTGACATTGACAGCCCCACTTAATAAAGCCCTTGATAAGGGTGAGGAAGAAATGTCAACACTTGGGCTCTTGTAAGGGAGGCTTTATCAGCCACATGGTCTCAAATGTCTTTGATTCCAGGAAAGCTGTGAAGGATCTGATGTTCTGAAGACTCAAGTCCTGCAGTTCATGCAGCAGTAAGTACCCTGAGGACCACCAGGAATGGGGAAGGCTGGGACAGTCCAGGCCACCCAAGTAGAGGTCAGCTCCTGAGAGTTTTCAAGTACCCTTTGAGGTCCAGTCCATAGAGATAGACTGCCTTCATTGTCCCCTCACAGATATTACTTGATCTATGACTCTGGAGACAGACAGAGTCTCCTTGGTGCTTATCACAATGAGGCCTGCTTCTCCCTGACCATTCCCTTCATTCCAGACGATCCAGCCCTGTGAGTATCACAGCTCAAAGTCTTATTCTGGGGCATGTGTCTCCCCAGCAGAAACTGGTCAGCTCATGGAAACACCCACACTGGCCAGACCACCACATCCTATTCCTCTTTTTCTCTTAGAAACAGCTTGTTTGAGTACCTCAAGAATAACAGGCATACGAAGAACCTCAAGGACCCTAGTGAGTGTGGGATGAGGAAGATATGGCAGGGAAAGGGGGCATGAAGGGTCAGTCATAGGGCCCAGGGTGTGGCAATCCAGACCTTTGCTGTTCTTCCCCCACAAACCTGTGTTTTCAGCTGCTGAAATATACAAAACCTGACACTGTGAGCCCCCTCTGTGTGTTGCCCAAAACACAGCATGACCTTAGCTCCTTTGTGGTGGACCTGTGTTTCCAGTTGGTGAGCACTCGCTTCCTGCCTCAGGTAGTCCAAGAAAGACTAAAGTGGTTAGGAGGTGTAGAAGGTGACTGAGACCTGCACTCCTATTTTTTCTTCAGGAAAGGATGCTCTTCTTCTGTGTCAACAGGGTGTTCGAGGAAGATGTGTGTAGACTCCCCTCCCCAGATGCCCCACTGCTCCCTCCCCCTGGCTGAGCTCCCCTCTCAGAACTCTCTCAGCTTCCCTGATCCCTTCCCTTTCCTTACTATTCCCTCTGTGTTCTCCTGCCTCCACTCTTCCCCTGAAGAATAACCTGTGTTATTTTTAAATCATAAATTCAATAAAAATTTAGAAATATGTTCTACACTGCCAAAAGAAAAATTTAAATGTGAGAAACAGGGAGAAAATATTTGCAAACAATATTGCAGACTTTGTGCTAATATTCCTGTACATAAAGGACTTTTGCCCACCAGGAGCAAGAGAGACAAAGATATAAAAATTACTTATTAATTAAAAAGCAAAATGTTTCTCCGATAAATGTCTGCACAGAAGTCAAACGACACTGTCCAAAGAAATATCCAGAGATGTCACAATGAGTAAAAATCCAATTTGCAGAAAATCATTTATGTGACTGAAAAATTTTAAAAATATATATATGTGCATATACACATGCACACACACACACACATATATACACACATGTTTATATATGTATATGTATATAAGACTTGGAAATATTTTAAGATAAGTAAATACCAACCTTACACATCTAGAAAATGTGCACCAGTCTATTTAAAGTGGATTTCTTTGGGTCATGTTGAGAGGATCATATAGATGAAAGATGTAGGATGATTTTATTATCTAAATATATATTTAATAGTGTTTAATATTTTGTAATTAGAGGAATTTGTTGAGACACTTGAAAATATCTAACATGTTGACAAAAACTCATATATTTACTAACTCAAAAATTTTCATGTTATATTGTTTTATAAAAAGTTATAAAAATACGGTTTGGCAGTTTATCTATGTATGTGTATGTGTTTTTTGTCTTATGTTTCCCTCATTCCAAATATGCACATCGTTGCGTCCTTATTTCTCTTCAGCTTACCCAGAGGTTGGATATCCTCTCTCAGGGCGTAGAAACCCAGGAAGGGACTGCTGCTGAGGGGACAGGGTGCTGGGGGGCTGGGTGAAAAACACCAGTAAGTTCTGGCTAATTCATTGGAGCTCAGGCCTCTATCTCACTCTCTTCCCCTTAGGGAGCCTTTAGGTCAGACCTCCAAAGCTACAATTCCGGCTGTGACCACCAGGGAGTAGCTCCTCCCCGCCCCTCCCCAACCACCCCCAAAGGAAAAGGCGATTTTTTTTTTCCTGCTCTCATTTCAGTGCCCCACCAAATGGTTTGTTATTTTCTTTATCAATTTCTGTTTGGCCCCTCGTATGACCTGTCTAAGGTGAACTGAAGTTATTGTTTGCCATGTGACTATATAGATATCTTTAACTTCGCCCTTCTTTAGGTAAGTCTTTTATTTTTTAAAGAGTTTATTAAAGTAATGCATGATGGGATAATGTCCACTCTATAAAGCTCAGTACCAGTGTCTGCATCACCATGTAATGTCTGAATTACGCCAGACAAGCTCCTACACCTCCCTAAACCTCAGCAACTTCAGGGAGGGCAAGGAGTGTTAATTCCGCAGATACAGATGTCCTTGTGAGGAATACGTGAAGGAGCACAATGTAAGGCAGCCCACACAGAGCCTGGTCACAGTTGACTGTCAGAGTTCTCTGGGAACTCTACCTGCGAACACCTACCTGGGAACCAGTCCTATTAAATCTACTCGAAGCTTATGTGGAGGAGGCTTGGTTGGAAACAGTTGCCTAGTAGCAACTCTGGGGGCAGTGAGAACAGGAAGTTAAGTCTCCTCTGGCTGCTAGGACCCTCCTCTCTAGGGAAGGAACTTCCTGTCAGGACTCCATCTTACTTGTGTGGACTTGATCAAAGTTTGGGGCCCTCCACAGAATGCTAGAACCCCCCAGCTCCAGACTCCACAGATTCTCCTCATAAATACCTTGCGAGGACAGTGGTGACAGGTTACTGCCTTCAGACCGCACCAGTGGTGAGTTGTTCAGCGTGAATCCTCACGGGGCCGGAGGGATTCTAGGTCCCCTCCCCCACACCAACCCACGGGATACCCAGCCAAGCCACCTTTAGGTGGGGAGGGTTGTCGAGGGCCCAGGCTGTTTTCCACTCTCTTGAGGAAATGGGTAGAGTGGTCCCTGATACACCGTCCTGGTTCCACATAGAAAACTGCCCCTCCTGTGGCTATGGTTATGACAAAGCTGAGATGTTCCCCTTGGATGAGGGGAACGGTCTGAGTCATCTATACCTCTCTGGTTCAGGATTTGGTGAGTGAGGAGGGTTACCCCGGGAAGGGAGTATTGGAAATTAACATTCTTTGGATGCATACTAGAGGTAGGGGAGGAGCAAGGAACCCAGCATTATTCTTGAATTTTTACACCAACCAGTCAGCATATTGTATTATCCCCATAGAAGTTTCTTAAGGCTTGCTTTATAGCCCACCATATGACCTGTTCTGGAATGTAGCATGGATTGTCATGTGCAGTGTTCTATGACAATTAACTAAGTTTTGTTATTTCTGTTATTTAAATCTCCTTCATTTAACTCATTTTTTGTCTGAATGTTTTATCTGTCACTCAGTGAGATGTACTAAAATTTCCCACTGTGACTGTGGATTTGGTCATTCCTTTTACTTCGGTCATTTTCTGCTGTGTGTATGTTTTCCATTTACTTCTATCAGTTTATGCTGTGTATCTTTTGGTTCTATGTTAAAAGGTGCATACAAATTTAAAATTTACTAATATTTTCATGTTGAATTGAACCTTTAGTCATAATGAAATGTCCCTTTTTCTCTAGTAATGTTTTTACTTAAGGTATATATTTTTCTCTTTTGAATGGTTATACCAGCTTTCAGTGTTTAAATGGTATATCTTTTGCTATCTTCTTTTAATTTTCAGTTTTTCTTTATCTTTATATTTTACATATGTCCCTTTTAAGGAGCATCTGATTGAATGAATGTTTTTATCTAGACTTAGTGATCTTTGCTTTTTCATTTGAAATCTTCAGTCGATTTGTATGTAATGCAATACCGGATATAATTGCGTTTAAATTATTCTGTTTGCCTTACATTTATTTTTCTGTTCCAGTTTTCTTTTTCTCTCTTTTGTAACATATAATATATATTTTTAATTATTCAATTTTTGCCTTATTTAGCTTGGTAAACATTCTTTCTTGTTTTTGTCATGTTCATCCTTCAGATTACAACTTATATTTTTGCCTTATTACAGTTTAATGTTAGTTCTTTTACATCTTCTTGGTTAGCACAAGTACCTTCCAACACTTAGCTCAATTAATGCACCTCCTGATTTATTGTCATGCATTTTAATTACATGTACATATTCTTCAAGAAATTATCACTGTATTAAACAGTAAATACTCATTTTTATTTTCCTCCATATTTTCCAATGTCATTATTCTTCATTGTTCTTACATCTGTATGTGTCTCCATCTTGGATCATATTTTAGCCTGAGGGTGAATCTTTAGTTCGAGTTAGATGGTGACAAAATTTGCCTAGCTTTTCTTTGCATTAGTATGTTTATTTATTTAACTTCCATTTTCAAAAAATAAGTTTTTTAATATTTATTATTTTTTTACTTTAAATAATCTTTTATTTTTCAGTTACAGTTGACAGACAATATTATATTCTTTTCAGATGTACAACCCAGTGATTGGACAAGTCTTTTGTGAACACAAAATTCTGAGTATGAAGATACAGTTTCACTTTCTTCAAACTATCATTATTTCTGTCTCAAATTATATATCAGTCTAATTTTTACTCCTTTGAAGATACTTCGTTGTTTTACTCTCTCATCTTTGAATAGTTCCATTATTTGGGTTTCAACAGCTTTACTATAATAGGCCTGGGTTTGGTTTTCCTCATACCCCACTATACTTGGCATATATACTGCTTTTTACATCTCTTACTTGATGTCTTTTGTTACTTTTCAAAACTTCTCAAACATTATATCTTGAAATACTGTTTCTGCACTATTATTTTTCCTTCTTTATAGGACTCCTATTAAACATGTTTGCTTTATTTACCATACCCCTTTTACCTTTGCCCCATCTCTTCCTGTATTATTCATCATTTTGTCTCTTCATACTTCATTCTGGATATTTTCTTCAGATATTTCATTCATTTCTCTGATTCTCCCTTCAGTGTGTCTAATATGCTGCTAATCCTATAATTGTTCTTAATTCCAGTTATTGCATTTTTCAGTTCTAGAAATTCTGTTCATTTTTATATTTTCAAATTCTTGGGTAAAATTTTCAGTCTTTTATTTTCTTGACAGTTATAAACATGGTTATTTTAAAGTTTATATCTAATACTGCCATTATCTAGATTTCATGTGGATAGTTTTTATTGCATTTTTTTATTTCTTGATTTTCAATGATGTTGTCTTATTTCCTTTCTCACGTAGTTATTTTTAAAAGATTTCAGGGAACTATATATAATAAATTGTAGATTTATTTACTTCAGTCTTAAGATGAGTTATCTCCCTCTAAGAAAGAGTTTCTTTCTTTTTTTCTGTCTAACAGCCTCCCAGATGACAACCAACAATCCCAGATCTGGTGATTGAAATCATTAATCTGGACTTTAGTCCTTTGCAGGGCTGGTCTATTTCCAGTTTACCTTTACTTGCTTTTACATAGCTCCCCTCCTTGACAGGCCAATTTCAGCTTTTATGCACTTAGCCTGACCTCTGTAGAAAATTTGGCACAAATTTTCAGCATTTAAGCATCATACATTCCTCCTTAGGAATCATAAACTGCTGCTATTAAAAAAAAGCAACCCCAAACGCTGAGATTACCTTCTGGAATTTCTTTTTCTCCTGATCTTTGCTCCATAATATCTTATGGCATTGATCGCTCTTTGATGCCTTTAAATAATTTTTTAAAAATAATTTTTCACACTTTTCTAGCTATTCTCAATTGGATATTTAGCTAGTCCAACTTAGTTAGTCTCATTGCTGGAAGCAAAACCCTAAATTTATTTTTTAATGCTTAGTTTAGTGTAGTCCTTATTATCATTGTTATCTTTTGCAGTGTGTCTTCTTTCTAATGTTTAGAAAATAACGTAACAGAAACAGGAAAACACATGTAATATGCTTTTCATGAAGTATTCCAGATGGACATGTCTGGCCAGCACAGGTCCAGTACCTCAGGTGTTTTTTTCACTTTATCATTTTGCCAGTGCACATTATATTGTCTTATCCTCTCATCCTTGATTGTTTGCTCCTGCTTCTGAGGCCTTCAAGTCTCTTCCAACCCTCAGCCACTTTCATATTTCAGTCATTCCACTGACAATAGATTCTGGGTCTCCACTCCACTATATCCTCCTGTCTTATGTCAATGTATATATAGAATATATATATATATATATATTCTATATATACACACACACATATATATTCATTAGAGGTAATGTTTTTCCAAAAGTAAATTCAAAAAGGGCAATTGTTTTATCAGCATGTGACCTTTTTAAATTGTTGGTGAACTGGTGAAGAAATAGACTCATTCATTCACTCTTGATGAGCGTGCAAATATATATACAGGGTGAGGCAAAAGTAGGTTTACAATTGTGAGTACCCGAAGCACAGAGTTTATTCTTGTATTATTATTTATTAATTATTGTGTTATTTTCCATATGAGTAAGTAAACCTACATTTGCCCCACCCTGCATATATAAATGCCTCTTACAAAAGTTTCTTAACATTGAAAACATTCATGTTTTGACCAGAATAATCTACTTATGGGAATTATTGCATTGAAAAGTATAAACAAATACATAGAATGTATATATAATTCTTTTCATAGTAACATTGTTTATAGTAGCAAAATCTTGAAATGATTTGTTGAAATTGAAAACTTTTAGTAGATTAAAGTTTATGATAATTAAAAATTTAACTGAAATAATAAGCTAATGTATAAATTATATGAAAATCAGATTATTATTTACACATTTTTAAATATGAAAAAGATATATTTTGGATTAATCATTTATTCCTTTCTGACCTCCTAGCTCAGTGTAATTCAACCCTCAGTTCTTGCTCGGTAAACAGGTGACCTTAGCTTTAATTTCTACAGTGTCTTTAAAGGAAAATCATGTTAATTTGGTAAATGATAAAAATCAATTAAATATTTCTAAACATACAATGTCATAAAAAAATTGCTAAATGAAAACAGCAGGTTACAGATATATTTTACCATATGATTACATTTTGAGAATATATCTGTGTAAGTGCTAATACGTTCCATAGCATACAAATATACAGTGCCAAACATATTCACATATCTCCTTTCTCCCTTTCCCTCCCCTCTTCCTCTCTCTGCCTCTCTCTCTTTGTTAAATAAACTGTCTCATTGCATCCCAATGTTGATACCAGACTCAGATTGTTGCTAAGGCTCAATCGTATTCAGCTTTGATGGTTTGGGCAAGAATACTTCAAAGATAGTTCCTATAATATAATACATGATGTCTCATTGTTTCTCTTCTTGTGGTATTTGTCAGTCATTGGTGAAAATTGTATAGATCCATTATTTGTGAGTTTTTAAATGGTGATATTCAAATTCTACCATGCCATCTTTATATATTAACCAAAATATAAAAAGAAATTCTCTCTCATCAACAAATTAGCTAACTTTATGTAAAGCTTCTACATAAAAAAAATTGATATTCCCTCTTTATGTACAAATTTTCATAAAAATAATTTGGCTTATTGGAATTCTCCAAATGCCACCAATATGGCTCCTTTATGTTGTTATCATTAGAAACTCGTACATTTTAACATATTGATGGGCTTCAAACTCTTGTTATAAGATTTTGAACAAAATAGTAAAAGATTTCACTTATGCTTCTCTGTCTGGTGAGTTAAAAGCAGATGGTGAGGGAGCATGGGTGAAAACAGAGGGACCAGTTGAAAAGCAATATAATACAAGAGACTGATGTTGGTGAAACATAAAGTGGTAGAAATAGA